CCAGTGCGCAAACCACTGCGCCACCGCTCCCCACGGGCAAACAAAGACAAAGATCACCCCGTATAGCCTGAACGGACAGTCGGGGCAAGTGCTGTGTTAGCGAGCACCGATGATGGCTGTGGCACGGCACGCCGAGGGGGATGGGTGGCCAGCACCACACCCGGCCGCCTTTGTCTCCCCCAGTAGCGTTCGTTTTACACACCGCACCGGGTGACTCATTTGCGGCTGAGTCGACCTAGGGGTGGCGCAGGACCGGTTGCTAACCTCTGCGCTTAGCGTGCACGCAAACCGTGGAGTCCGTCACGCGCTCACGGCAAAGACAACAACAACAATATCAGCAACAACAACAACACTCCGTCTTCACATTCTGCACAGTGGTGCTGATGAGTGGAGAGGCTCAACGCTGTGTCAGCAGTGTCGGGTGAAGCAAAGTGCGGGGCATGTAGGATATGTTGTAGGTAAATACGTAAATATTAAAACACGTACATTTTTAACTTGCACAGTAAAGTTATTGTATTTTTTTTATTTGCTACACAGCCAGACAATACGACAAATCGCTAACTTTAGTAGTAGCTACTACGACACGTGTAGTAGCTACTATACTACTATATGTAGTAGCTACTACAGTAGTAGCTACTTCACGTGTAGTAGTAGCTACTACTACTACATGTGTAGTTGCTACTACACATGTAGTAGTAGCTACTACACGTGTGTAGCTCCTACACATGCAGTAGCTACCACACATGTGTAGCTACTACATGTGTCAGACTATTGTCCTATCATCTCATAGAGTCTCTGGCATGTGGTAGCTACTACACATGTAGTAGTAGCTACTACACGTGTGTAGCTCCTACACATGCGGTAGTAGCTATCACACATGTGTAGCTACTACATGTGTGTAGCTCCTACCACATGTGTAGTAGCTACCACATGCCAGAGACTCTATGAGATGATAGGACAATAGTCTGAGTCCATAATTGGCAATACGTAACGGCAAAGCGGTTATAAGTGACTCAGAATTGTGCTCAGCTGCGTGTACAGAGTCCACGACTTCCATGAAGGCATTCACCTTCAGCGAGCGCGGTGCCGATCACTAACAACGCGGTGCGAATTTGACCCTCGATCGATGTCTGCACCATCGCCACACACGCGTTGAATAAAAAGCAAGGGACAAGTCCTTACTTATTACTAACAACTCCTTACTTACTAACTCCTTACTTACTAACAACTCCTTACTTAATAACAACTCCTTACTCACTAACAACTCCTTACTCACTAACAACTCCTTACTAACAACTCACTTACTAACAACTCCTTACTCACTAACAACTCCTTACTCACTAACAACTCCTTACTAACAACTCCTTACTTACTAACAACGCCTTACTCACTAACAACTCCTTACTAACTAACAACTCCTTACTTACTAACAACTCCTCTATCATTTTGATTTAAAGCTTTCGTGACTGCAGTAATTCATATTCTTAGCTCTTTCGGTAAAGTCACGTTGAAGGGAAACAATAAAATAATAAAATATATATATAACAAAAAAATGTCTTACGACGTTTCGACCATAACACAAACGGTCGTCATCAGGTGTGTCGGTTTGCATAAATGTATTTATTTGCAAAGGTGTATTTATTTATTTATTAATAACACGTCAGCGCAGCGATTTGTCAGTTTATTTAGAAGGACGAGTCCATCTATGTTCTGAAAAGAGGAGGGGGGAGACGAAAAATTAATGTATGCTGTCTGAAAGCCACCGTAAGCGTGAACAATCAATTAAGACCTGAAATGGTTTATTAAATCCTTCCAATGATTGCTAAGCCAGAATCCATCTTCTCGGTTGAAATTGTCTCTGTGCTTGTATATGTGGATAGCCTCATGAACGAATCTCTCATGGTAGCCAGATGGCTTACAAAGAACCTCTGTCTTGGAAAAGTCAATGTCATGTGAGCCTACTGAATTATAACAGTGATCTGCCACGGCCGAGGTGTTGGTCCTACCGTGTTTAAGGTCTGCTTTGTGTTCACGAATGCGGTCCGAGACATAGCGTTTGGTTTCTCCAATGTAACTACTACCACAGAGGCAACTTAGTTTGTAGACACCAGGGTACTGTATGTCCGGAATCACATCTTTTACAGACGGAACCAGATCACGGATTTTATGCAATGTGTTGAATCGGACCTGGACCTTGTGTTTATTCAAGATTTTGGAGATCTTTTTTGTGATCCCCACAATGTAGGGTAAAGTGATGGTTTTGAAAGGCTCCTCAAGAGGGTCCTTCTTCATGGTTTGAGTGATAGCTTTGCGGATTGTATAGTCGGAGTAACCATTAGCCTTAAGAGCTTGGTGTACGTGCTTGAGTTCACTGCCTATGTGTTCCTGGTCGGATATGCATTGGGCTCTATGGTACAGAGTCTTGATGAGATAATTCTTCTGTGATGGATGGTGGTGGGAATCCGGTTTCAGATAAGCATCCGTATGGGTAGCTTTCCTGTAGACAGAGTGGCTCATTGAACCATCAGGTCTCTTTTTTATTAGGACATCCAAAAAAGGTAGCTTGCCATCTTTTTCGACTTCCATGGTAAATCTGATGGCTGGGTGTATGGAATTGATGTGGTCGAAGAATTGGTCTAGAGCAGGCCGGCCATGTGGCCAGATGACAAAAGTGTCATCCACGTACCTCTTCCATAAGGTTGGGCGCAGAGTGGCAGTCTGGATGGTGTCAGTCTCAAATTTCTCCATGAAAATGTTAGCTATAACCGGAGATAGGGGGGAGCCCATTGGGGTGCCCTCAGTTTGTTTGTAGAAACTTCCATTCCAAGTGAAGTATGTATTGGTTAAACAGTGTCTCACCAGGGGTACCTCAGTGTTTAGTCCTTGATGAACCAAGTCTTCAATGATTGCGATGGTGTCAGGTACAGGAACCTTGGTGAAGGAAACTACATCAAAACTGACAAGCAGGTCGTCTGGGGACAGGAAAATACCCTTGATTGTCAATACCAGGTGAGTAGAATTTTGTACCGCAGAGGTGGTTTTTCCAGTGAAAGGACGCAGGATTTCAGACAAAAAACGAGCCAGTTTGTAGGTGGGGGAGTTGATAGTAGAGACGATGGGACGAAGGGGTGTATCTACTTTATGTATTTTTGGTAAGCCGTATAATCTTGGTTGCCTGGTAGCAGAAGGTTTCAACGAAAACTGTTTAGATTGATCAATTAATGCGGTTGAATCAGAAATTATTTTGTTGGTTTGTGTGACGAGGCTGTTGGTGAGATCTCTTTTTATTTTTTTATAACTACCATCGTCGAGTCATTCTTTAATTTTGTTGTTGTATTCTATTTTATCCATGATGACAGTAGCATTGCCCTTGTCAGCTGAGAGGACTACAATGTCATCCCTCTTTTTTAATATATGTAATTCAAAACGCTCATCTTTGCTGAGGTTGCTAGCTGGCATCTTAGCGTTATCATTTTTCATTGCTGGAGGGGTTTCCCTCCCTACCTGTAAATCCTGGCTCCGCCATTGAGAATATTTATACTGGAGGAATCCGATGAGCTATCAAGCTCTTTTTTCACGGATACCCGGTAGTTTCACAGCTGTCCAGTAGTTTATTATTGTTTATTATTACCATTCACGTGGGGAGAAAACCGGAGCACGTGGAGAAACCCCACGCCTCGCGCAAGGGAGCAACGCTCGATCCCCCGTACGGACGGAAACAGACGTCGATGAGTCCGCCCTCTCCTGGCGAGCTGGGGTAGTTCGGCCATCTCCTCGACGCGAACCCGCGTGTAGAAGGGAGTTCAACCACCACCACAACAACAACAACAACGAAGACGACGACGAAGACATCTGCGCGTGCGGTGATCCACCAACCCTCGCTGCTGCCTCCATAGCGCTGGGTCACAACAGCCACGTGCAGCAACAGCAGCAGCGTAGCCACCACCACCACCACCATCATCATCACCGCCCAGGATGTTGTCGTCGTTGTTGTTTTGCTTTTGCCGACTAAGATCGTGAGCGTTTTACACCTCGACCTTAGCAGGCACAAAGCAGCCGTACTAATCGGAGAGTGCGGCGCGAAGGGATAACAGAGCCCGGGCTGAACAGGATCAGGGGCAACACGAGGACACGTGGGAGCAAGGGGACAGATTGGGGTACGGCACACGGGGTCACGGGGGTCGCAAGCAGCGGCTCTGTCCGCCTGCGAGTTCGGCAACGACGACGAGATTCGAGCAGAGGGAAGGAAGCGAGCGATGGAGAGGTGTAAGAAGTATTTGGCCGTGATGACCTATTGACCTTGAGCTTGTGTGCGCGCGCGTGTGAGTCGGAGGGTCTGCGTGTGTGTTCAAGTGAGTCGGAGGGTCTGCGTGTGTGTTCAAGTGAGTCGGAGGGTCTGCGTGTGTGTTCAAGGGAGCGGTGGCGCAGTGGTTAGCGCTACGCTGCGGTACGCACCTGGCGACCCGGGTTCGATTCCCGCTCACGGCCAACACCCAGTGACGATTATCTGAACCGTTCCTGGTGCCTCCCCTAGGTCGACTCAGCCTCAAATGAGTACCTGGTGCGGTGTGTAGTAAACATCGCAACAGGGGAGACAAAGGCGGCCGGGAGTGGTGCTGGCCACCCACCCCTGGTCGTGTGCCGTGCCGGCCTTCACAGGTGCTGCTCGCTAACAGCACTTGCCCCTACTGTCTGTTGAGGCTACACGGGGGGTCTTTGTCTTTGTTCAAGGGAGTCGGAGGGTCCTGCGTGCGCCCGGTCACCGACAACCCCAGCCCCGAGGACACGAGGTCACGAGGTCACGAGGTCGCGAGGTCGTGACCCCACGCCCGCGTCTCCCGGTGCCACCGTGCGGTGTCGGCAGCACCGCTGGGGGTGGTGGGGGGGGGGTGGTTGAGGTTCGACCTCGGGACCGGTGCCGGGTGGAGTGGGCCCCCCCCCCCACGACCTCTCGCCCCCCCCCCCGCGACCTCTCGCCCCCCCCCCCCCCCCGCGACCTCTCGCCCCCCCCCGGCCACCGCGACGACTCCATGAGCAGCCCGGCAGAGAGCGCACAGCTTGGCAGCCTCGAACACTCACGAGGTGGGGGGACACGCGGGGACACACGGAGACACATGGGAGACACGCGGAGACACACGGGGGACACACGGGGGACACACGGGGACACACGGAAACATCACGGGGGACACACGGGAGACACACGGAGACACACGGGGGACACACGGAGACACACGGGGACACGCGGGGGACACACGGGAGACACGCGGGGGACACACGGGGGATACACGGAGACACACGGAGACACACAGAGACACACGGGGGACACGCGGGGACACACGGGGACACGCGGGGACACACGGAGACACACGGGGGACACACGGAGACACACGGGGGACACGGGGGACACATGGGAGACACGCGGGGCCCACGGGGTTACGAGAATTCGGGTAGAGAGGGGCACACAGCGGGGGTAAGGCGACAGAGGGACGCGGGACACGGGGATAGCGACACCACAGGGGCCCACGCGAACTAGAGGACATCTGCGAAGAGGAGCTTTATAGCTCATCGGATTTCTCCAGTACAAACACAAAGTCTGATTACGAAGCGCGGTGCTGTCTCGATGCCACAGCCCCCACCCTCTGACGAGGAAGGGTTGCGGGCTGAGTGATGAGAAGGGAATTTGTAGCCCCGAGTTTGCCAAGAGACGTAAATTAAATTCAAAGTTCCGCGAGATAATTTCAGACATTTCAAATATTTTTTCCCATGCGCCTAAGAAGCTCTGCAGATGTCTCCGTGTCCCCCGTGACTTCACATTGACTCGCTCGCTTGGCGTCCGCGTCCCCGTGTCCCCGTGTCCCCCTGTCCCCGTGTCCCCCGTGTCCCCCCTGTCCACGTGTCCCCGTGTCCCCGTGTCCCCCGTGTGCCCGTGTCCCACGTGTTCCCGTGTCCCCCCTGTCCCCGTGTCCCCCTGTCCCCGTGTCCCCCTGTCCCCGTGTCCCCCTGTCCCCGTGTCCACGTGTCCCCCGTGTCCCCCTGTCCCCGTGTCCCCGTGTCCACGTGTCCCCCGTGTCCCCGTATCCCCGTGTCTCCCGTGTGCCAGTGTCCCCCTGTCCCCGTGTCCCCGTGTCCCCCTGTCCCCGTGTCCCACGTGTCCCCCATACCCCTCCCCCCCCCGGTTACCCTCCCCCCCCCCCCCCCCGCTGTAGACTCTCGGAGCCCCACGGCTCTCTGCGCCGCTGAGGATGGGGTGGGGACGGCGCCGCACGTGGGGGCGTGGCAGCTCGCGTGCGCGGTGACGCAGCGGCGGCCCCTGCTGGGACCCGCCCCCCAGTGGAGGACCGCCGGCGTTGCCACGGAGACGGAGCATCGCCATGGCAACGGTACGCGAGTTCTCAGTGCACGCGGCGATGGGGATTCTTGAAGCCGTCTGTGCAGGGCGTGGGGGGTGGTGGTGGTGCGTTGTTTGTACCTCGCGCGGAGTTGTGGGTCGTCCTCCGCTTCTTCTTCCGACGCAAAGGAAAATTAAAGGGCCTCACCTAAGAAGGGAATTCGTGGCCGATACACAATTTACAAAATATATTATTATTATAAGAGGCACATCGAAAACTTGTGTTGATAAAGTTAAACAGATCTGCTCGTACACAAAGACAAAGATGCCCCGTGTAGCCTTGGGGGCTGTCCATAAATGACGTCACGCACCTGGGGGGGGGGGGGTCAGACATTTGTGACGATGTGTGACGAGGGGGGGGTTGAGAAATGTGACGTCACATAAAAATTCGCAACTTTAAATAAATATAGACAACACGTTCTACTTAATTAAAAATACTTTTTAATAAATGTTTTCTCCTACAACATCAAAGTGCAGCGCCACATTAAATACGCACGACAATGACAATAGTTTAAAGCGATTTGAGGGGGGAGGGGGGGCAGAGCTTTGTGACGTCATATTTGAGGGGGGGTCTGACTTTTTGTGACGTCGTGTGATGAGGGGGGGGGGGGTCAAAAATCGTCCAAAATCGCGTGACGTCATTTATGGACGGCCCCATGGACAGGCTGTTTTGGGGCAAGTGCTGTTAGCGAGCACCTATGAAGGCCGGAACGGTACACGAAGGGGTGGGTGGCCAGCACCACGCCCAAACCGCCTTTGTCTCCCCCATTGTTGTATGTGTACACACCGCACCAGGTACTCATTTGAGGCCGAGTCGACCTAGAGGAGGCCCAGGACCGGTTCGGATTTACGTCACCGGTGTTGGCCGCGAGCAGGAATCGAACTCGGGTCGCCGGGTTCGTAGCGCTAACCGCTACACTACTGATCCCCACGTACAAAGACAAAGATCCCCCGTGTAGCCTGTAACAGACTGTTGGGGCAAGTGCTTTTAGCGAGCACCTATGAAGGCCACGTACAAACCGAATAATAAACTGAAAACCCATCAAATTTAACTTTTTTTTAAATACAGAGAGCAGAGGGCGTTGGGGTGGCGGTCGTTGTAGCGGTCAGCGCGCTACGCTGCGACACCGGCGTAGAGCCGAGTTCGATTCCCGCTCACGGCCACCACCAACACCCGGTGACAGTCATCCTCGCCGGTTCATGGGGCCTCCCCTAAGTCGACTCAGCCTCAAATGAGTACCTGGTTGCGGTGGCGTAGCAAACATCGCCGCTGGGTGAGACAAAGGCGGCCGGGCGTGGTGCACGACCAGCCACACTCTTTGTGCGCCGTGCCTGCCTTCGTCGGTGCTGTTGTTCGCTAACAGCGCTTGCCCCAACAGTCTGTTACAGGCCACACGGGGGATCTTTGTCTGTGTCTTTGTAATCGGGTGAATGCGGTAATCGTGACGCCCGGGCGGCAGCTTGCTGTCTTTTCTCCCCCGGTAACAACGTCGCTCGCCCATCTCGAACACCAATTAAAGTCTCTCGCTCCCTCCGCGGGAGTATTGAGAAAGAAATGATTATATTATTAAATAAGCTCGCCGCGCATTCTTCGGATTTCGCCAACCGAGAGCCAGCTGACAGTAACCACACGGGTCGGAGAACATGACGCAAGAGACACCATAATTATATATGTGTGTGTGTGGACTGTGAAGCCTTCAATAGCTGTACCGGAGGAATTTCCATCTGGTACAGATATAATGGGAGGCTGATCGATGCCCGGGTGCGGTCGAGGCATGGCTCCCTATTGCTCAATCACGTTATGTATGACGATGATCTGGTAATTGCTGCTCACTCAGAGGAGTTGGAGACGCTGCTGCTGAGACTGGAGCGTGCCACTAAGAGATGGGGCCTTACCATCAGCCCCACCAAAACTAAGCACCTGCCTGGGTATTTTGTACCTTCGGACACTCCACCCCCACAACTCCCAATTGGTGATGGGGCAGTTGTGGAGAGAGTGGAGAGTTTCCCCTACCTGGGCAGTGTGCTCTGTGACCGGTTCCAGTTTAACAGCAGAGGTCTCACTCCGAATCAGTCGAGCGGTATTATCTTTTCATCGATTGCGTAACGCTGTGTGGAAGCTACCTGGTCTGTCGCTCCACACGAAGCTTCAGGTCTTCTCGGCTACAGTCACCCTTCTCTACGCTTGCGAAACGTGGACCCCCTAATGGAACATTTTCGCCGGTTAGAAACATTTAGGCTGGCCTGCCTACGATCCATCCTGGATTTAACCAGGCTGGATTGTGTGAGGAGCTCACAAATCTTTGAAAGATCTGGACAAAGTCCCATCGGTGAGCTCCTACGGCAGACAAAGCTGCGTTGGCTGGGCCATATAGCCCACATGCCCAGTCACCGCATGCCTAAACAGCTTTTGTTCGGCTGGATCGAAGGGGCTAAACGGACGCGGCACGGGCTAGAGAAGATATGGAGTGATGTGGTACAGGAGGATGTGGAGCTGAGTGGACTTGCCGATGACTGGTACCAGCGGTGTCAAGATCGGCCTCTGTGGAGGAGGCTCGTGAAGGACGCTACTGGGCAGTTGGAGGCAGTCACCCTCCAACAACAACAGAGGGTGGAGGAGCGACGCTCACAACAACGAGCGGAACGCCGGGTGGCTAAAGCACAGCGAGTTGGCATAGTATGGGGCACAGGTGATGCATCAGCCAGTCGTCTCAATCGACCCGTGGCACCTGGGTCTGCCTCCTGCCAGCGGGCGTTCGATACTTCACGTGGCCTCAAGGTGCACATAGCCTGGCACAAGCGCCGTGGTGACGTCACCGCCTCTTAGTGGCGAATGGCGGTTGTTGTTGTTGTGTGGACTGTGTGTATATTGTGGGGAGTGGTGGTGTCGTGGTTAGCGCTACGCTGCGCCTACTGCTAACAGCACTTGCCCCCAAACAGCCTGTTCAAGGGTTCGATTCTCGCTCACGACCAACACCCAGTGACAATCATCTGAACCAGTCCTGGGGCTCCCCTAGGTCGACTCAGCCTCAAATGAGTACCTGGTGCGACGTGTAAACATCGATGCTAGGGAGACAAAGGCGGCCGGGCGTGGTGCTGGCCACCCACCCCCTCGTGTGCCGTGCCGGCCTTCATAGCTGCTGCTCGCTAACAGCACTTGCCCCTACTGTCTGTTAAGTCTACACGGGGGATCTTTGTCTTTGTGTATATTTTGAAACTGAATAGTAAAGTATTTTATTTTCATTTTGTAAGGTCAGGCCCACAGAGCTACCATGTATAGTGAGGGAAAAAGTATTTGATCCCCTGCTGATTTTGTACATTTGCCCACTGACAAATAAATGATCAGCCTATAATTTGAATGGTAGGTTTATTTGAACAGTGAGAGACAGAATAACAACAAAAAAATCCAGAAAAACGCATGTCAAAAATGTTATAAATTGATTTGCATTTTAATGAGGGAAATAAGTATTTGACCCCCGCTCAATCAGAAAGATTTCTGGCTCACAGGTGTCTTTTATACAGGTAACGAGCTGAGATTAGGAGCACACTTAAAGGGAGTGCTCCTAATCTCAGCTTGTTACCTGTATAAAAGACACCTGTCCACAGAAGCAATCAATCAATCAGATTCCAAACTCTCCACCATGGCCAAGATCAAAGAGCTCTCCAAGGATGTCAGGGACAAGATTGTAGACCTACACAAGGCTGGAATGGGCTACAAGACCATTGCCAAGCAGTTTGGTGAGAAGGTGACAACAGTTAGTGCGATTATTCGCAAATGGAAGAAACACAAAAGAACTGTAAATCTCCCTCGGCCTGGGCCTCCATGCAAGATCTCACCTCGTGGAGTTGCAATGATCATGAGAACGGTGAGGAATCAGCCAAGAACTACACGGGATGATCTGGTCAATGATCTCTCGGCAGCTGGGACCATAGTCACCAAGATAACAATTGGTAACACACTACGCCGTGCAGGGCAGCATGCGTCAGGGTCGGGATCGAACCCACGACCTCCTGTATACCAGGCGAGGTAGTGAACATCTCCTAGCCACCGTGATGATGATGAGAGAGAGAGAGACGCAGACTCCAAATAGACAGCAGCAGGCGTCAGGGTCGGGATCGAACCCACGACCTCCTGTACACCAGGCGAGGTAGTTAACATCTCCTAGCCACCGTGATGATGATGATGAGAGAGAGACACGCGAACTCCAAATATACAGCAGCAGGCGTCAGGGTCGGGATCGAACCCACGACCTCCTGTATACCAGGCGAGGTAGTTAACATCTCCTATCCACTGTGGTGATGATGATGAGAGAGAGAGACACGAAAACTCCAAATATACAGCAGCAGGCGTCAGGGTCAGGATCTAACCACGACTTCCTGTACACCAGGCGAGATAGTTAACATCTCCTAGCCACCGTGATGATGAGAGAGAGACCCCCAAACTCCAAATATACAGCAGCAGGCGTCAGGGTCGGGATCGGACCCACGACCTCCTGCATACCAGGCGAGGCTCTTAACATCTCTTAGCCAACGTGGCGAGGTGATTGCTCTGATGGTTGCGGTCTCTCCTCGCACGTGCACGGGCGGTCCTCGTTTAACGCGGTAGATGCGTTCCTGACAGAGTGCCGCGCTAAGCGAAACCACGCGATGAGCTAACACAGTTTCCCCGTGCGTACACAATGTGATAACGACACAATTCGGCGAGATACGATGCAGTCACCAAATCACTCCGCTCAGCCAGCGCAGCTCAAGAAAGTAGTTCGTCACTGACCGCTCAGGAACCGCGTTATTAACGGTGCACGCCTTCCGCGTTGTGTGAAAAGTGTTCCCGAATGGAAGCGCCGCGTTCTAAGCGAGATCCCGTTATAGCGCGGGCACCGCGCGTTCAGCGAGTACTTACGGTACACGAATCATGATGGAAACAAGAACAACAATCAATGCGTGACGTGGAACGATGTTGTGGTGTGACAGTTGACGTTGAGGTGGTGTTTGGTGGTGGTGGTGGTGGAGAACAAGAGAGAGTGGCAGAGCGGGTCTCAACAGCAGCAGCAGCAGCAGTCACATTCAGAATTTATATATTTCCCCTAGGAGAAATCCGATGAGCTATGAAGCACTTGTTCACACGTGGGCGGTCGTTGTGAGCACGGCGGGAGCAATGACTTCCAGATGTCCTCCGCTGGAGGAGGCGCCCAACCCCGTGTCTCCCTTGACGCTCTCTCTCTCACACACACTCACTCTCTCTCTCTCTGTGTATTGACATATTCCCTCGTCGCTTTTCTGATCTTTGCTTGGCTTTCCCAGCAGCAGCGGAACCCCGAATCCATCCGAGCGGTCACATACAACACCGGCCACAACTATCCCTTACTCTGTCTCTCTCCTGCAGTCAAACTACCAAAAAAAAAACCCACAACCGGCATTTCCACATGGTGGGTGTATTATGCTACCCTCTGCACTGGCCTTCACCTAGGTAGACTAGGCCTGAAATCGGGTAGCACTCGCCGGGAGGCCAGACGGCTCGCTCGGAGGGCAGAGAGGCTGCCTAGCCCGGGGGTTCCAATCCCAGAGACACGTAGACTCACACAGAGACCCATAGACTCACACAGAGACACATAGACTTACACAGAGACCCATAGACTCACATAGAGACCCATAGACTCACACAGAGACACAGACTCACACAGAGACACATAGACTCACATAGAGACCCATAGACTCACACAGAGACACATAGACTCACACAGAGACACAGACTCACACAGAGACACGTAGACTCACACAGAGACACATAGACACACACACAGAGACACATAGACACACACACAGAGACACATAGACTTACACAGATACACATAGACTCACACAGAGACACGTAGACTCACACAGAGACACAGACTCACACACAGAGACACATAGACTCACACAGAGACACATAGACACACACAGAGACACGTAGACTCACACAGAGACACATAGACACACATAGACACATAGACTCACACAGAGACACATAGACTTACACACAGAAACACATAGACTCACACAAAGACCCATAGACTCACACAGAGACCCATAGATTCACACAGAGACACATAGACTCACACAGAGACACACAGACTCACACAGAGACCCATAGATTCACACAGAGACCAATGACTAACACAGAGATCCATAGACTCACAGATACCCATAGACTCACACAGAGACCCATAGACTCACACAGAGACACATAGACTCGCATCGAGACTCATAGACTCACACAGATACCCATAGACTTACACAGAGACCCATAGACTCACACAGAGACCCATAGACTCACACAGAGACCCATAGACTCACACAGAGACACATAGACTCACACAGAGACCCATAGACTCACACACAGAGACACATAGACACACAGAGACCCATAGACTCACACAGATACCCATAGACTCATACAGAGAGACCCATAGACTCACACAGAGACCCATAGACTCATACAGAGACACATAGACTCACACAGAGAAACATAGACACACAGAGACCCATAGACTCACACAGAGACACATAGACTCACACAGAGACCCATAGACTCACACAGAGACACATAGACTCACACAGAGACCCATAGACTCACACACAGAGACACATTGACACACAGAGACCCATAGACTCACACAGAGACCTATAGACTCACACACAGAGACCCATATATTCACACAAGACACATAGACTCACACACAGAGACCCATAGACTCGCACAGAGACACATAGACTCACACATAGACACATAGACTCACACAGAGAGACCCATAGACTCACACACAGAGACACATAGACACACAGAGACCCATAGACTTACACAGAGAGACCCATAGACTCACACAGAGACACATAGACTCACACACAGAGACCCATAGACTTACACAGAGACACATAGACTCACACAGAGACACATAGACTCACACAGAGATCCATAGACTCACACAGAGGCCCATAGACTCACACAGAGACACATAGACTCACACAGAGACACATAGACTCACACAGAGATCCATAGACTCACACAGAGTCACATAGACTCACACAGAGACCCATAGATTCACACACAGAGACCCATAGACTCACACAAATACCCATATACTCACACAAAGACCCATAGATTCACATAGAGACGAATGACTAACACAGATACCCATAGACTCACGCAGAGACCCATAGACTCACATAAAGACACATAGACTCACACAGATATCCATAGACTCACACAGAGACCCATAGACTCACACAGAGACCCATAGACTCACACATAGACCCATAGACTCACACAGAGACCCATAGATTCACACAGAGACCAATGACTAACACAGAGACCCATAGACTCACAGATACCCATAGACTCACACAGAGACCCATAGACTCACACAGAGACACATAGACTCACACAGAGACACATAGACTCACATAGAGACTCATAGACTCACACAGAAACCCATAGACTCACACAGAGACACAGAGACTCACACAGAGACCCATAGACTTACACAGAGACACATAGACTCACACAGAGACACATAGACTCACATAGAGACTCATAGACTCACATAGAGACCCATAGACTCACACAGAAATACATAGATTCACACAGAGACCAATGACTAACACAGAGACCCATAGATTCACAGATACCCATAGACTTACATATAGAGACCAATACACTCACACAGATATCCATAGACTCACACAGAGACCAATAAGGTTAACATAGAGACGAGAGGAGCACAGAGAGCCCACACAGTCACGGCGTTCGAGTTGGGAGTGAACCGGTTTATCAAGGGTGGTGAGTTGATGGTCTCAGCCCGGCCACGAATGACTGCACAAAACACGTATTGATGATGACTGATGATGACAATGATGATGATCATGACACTGATGGTGAATATGAAGATGATGACAATGATGACGATGATCACAATGATGCTGGTGGCAATGATGATTACACTGATGATGACACTGATGGTGATGATGACACTGATGATGATGACACTGATGATGATGATGATGACACTGATGGTGATGATGACACTGATGATGATGGCACTGATGGTGATGATGACACTGATGATGATGATTACACTGATGATGATGACACTGATGGTGATGATGACACTGATGATGATTACACTGATAATGAAGATGATGAGGACACTGATGGTGATGATGACACTGATGATGATTACCCTGATGGTGATGATGACACTGATGATGATGGTGATTACACTGATGATGATGACACTGATGGTGATGATAACACTGATGATGATGATGACACTGATGATGATGACACTGATGATGACAGTGATGGTGATGATGACACTGATGATGATGATGACACTGACGATGATGATGACACTGATGATGATGTCACTGATGATGATGACACTGATGGTGATGATGACATTGATGATGATGACACTGATGTTGATGATGACACTGAAGATGATGACACTGATGATGATGATGAACTGATGATGATGATGGCACTGATGATGATGCCACTGATGTTGATGACACTGATTATCACACTGATGATGACACTGATGCTAATGATGAAGTTGACAATGGCAATGACACTGATGATGATCACAATGATGATCACAATGATGATCACAATGATGATCACAATGATGATGAAAACAATGACGACGATGATTATGCCATCTTCCGTGCAGGCCACGTCTCCTCTCCGCCTCTGGGAACCTGCTCGGGCACCACGAGGTACGACGTTCCGGACGGCAACCCTCTGCTGAGCAACGGGGACGTGGCCAGGGCCAACCACGAACGAGGCTCCCGCTCAACCACCACCACCTCGACAACAACCACCACAACCACCACAACCACCACAACAACCACAACGTCGACCACAGCCGCTGTCGCCGCCAGTGCAGCGGCGGTCACCGCCACGGCCGTGGTGCTGGTGCCGCCTGCGGCCACGCGAATCGGCGCGGGTCAACGCGGGGTCACCACCAGCAGCACCACCGCCACCACCGCCACCACCACCGCTGGACAGCACCAGAGAGGGCGGAGGTCGAGGGGCGATGGGCGAGTTGGAGGGGCGCTCCCCAACAAACAACAGAAAGACGGAGAAGGTGGGAGGAAAGTGTGGTGGTGTTGGTGGGTGTGGTGGGGTTGGTGGGGCTTGGTGGTGGTGGTGGTGTTGGTGGTGGTGTTCGTGGTGGTGTTGGTGGTGGTGTTGGTGGTGGGTGTGGTAGTGGTTGGTGGTGGTGTTGGTGGAGTTGGTGTTGGTGGTGTTGGTGGTGTTGGTGCTGTTAGTGGTGGTGTTGGTGGTGTTGGTGGGGTTGGTGGTGTTGGTGGTGTTTGTGGTGGTGGTGGGTGTGGTAGTAGTTGGTGGTGTTGGTGGTGTTGGTGGTGGTGGTGTTGGTGGGGTTGGTGGTGGGGTTGGTGGTGGGTGTGGTAGTAGTTGGTGGTGTTGGTGGTGTTGGTGGTGGTGGTGTTGGTGGGGTTGGTGGTGGGGTTGGTGGTGGGTGTGGTGGGGTTGGTGGTGGTGGTGTTGGTGGTGGTATTGGTGTTGGTGGTGGGTGTGGTGGGGTTGGTGTTGGTGGTGGTGTTGGTGTTGGTGGTGGTGTTAGTGGTGGTGTTGGTGGTGTTGTTGGTGGTGTTGGTGGTGGGTGTGGTGGGGTTGGTGTTGGTGGTGGTGTTGGTGGTGGGTGTGGTGATGGTGGGGTTGGTGGTGGTGGTGGTGGTGGTGTTGGTGGTGGGTGTGGTGGTGGTGGTATTGGTGGTGGTGTTGGTGGTGGTGTTGGTGGTGTTGGTGGTGGTGTTGGTGGTGTTGGTGGTGGGTGTGGTGGGGTTGGTGTTGGTGGTGGTGGTGGGTGTGGTGATGGTGGGGTTGGTGGTGGTGTTGGTGGTGGGTGTGGTGGTGGTGTTGGTGTTGGTGGTGGTGTTGGTGGTGATGGTGTTGGTGGTGGTGTTGGTGTTTGTGGTGGTGTTGGTGTTGGTGGGTGTGGTGGGGTTGGTGGTGGTGTTGGTGTTGGTGGTGGGGTTGGTGGTGGTGGTGGTGGGGTTGGTGGTGGTGGTGTTGGTGGTGGGTGTGGTGTTGGTGGTGGTGTTGGTGGTGTTGGTGGTATTGGTGGTGTTGGTGGTGTTGGTGGTGGTGGTGGTGTTGGTGGTGGTGTTGGTGGTGGTGTGGGTGGTGGTGGTGTTGGTGGTGGTATCGGTGGTGGTGTTGGTGGTGGTGTTGGTGGTGTTGGTGGTGGTGTTGGTGGTGTTGGTGTTGGTGTTGTTGGTGGTGGTGTTGGTGGTGGTGTTGGTGGTGGTGTTGGTGGTGTTGGTGTTGGTGGTGGTGTTGGTGGTGGTGTTGGTGGTGGTGGTGGTGTTGGTGGTTGTGTTAGTGTTGGTGGTGGTGTTGGTGGTGTTGGTGGTGGTGTTGGTGGTGGTGGTGGTGTTGGTGGTGGTGTTGGTGGTGGTGTTGGTGGTGGTGGTGTTGGTGATGGTGGTGGTGTTGGTGGTGGTGGTGGTGTTAGTGATGGTGGTGGTGTTGGTGTTGGTGGTGGTGTTGGTGGTGGTGGTGGTGTTGGTGAGGTTGGTGGTGGGGTTGGTGGTGGATTTGGTGGGGTTGGTGGTGGTGTTGTGGTGGTGTTGGTGGTGGTGGTGTTGGTGGTGTTGGTGGTGGTGTTGGTGGTGGGTGTGGTGGTGTTGGTGGTGTTGGTGGTGGCGTTGGTGGTAGTGTTGGTGGTGTTGGTGGTGGTGGTATTGGTGGTGGTGGTGTTGGTGGTGGTGGTGTTGGTGGTGGGTGTGGTGGTGTTGGTGGTGGTGTTGGTGGTGGTGGTGTTGGTGGTGTTGGTGGTGGTGGTGTTGGTGGTGTTGGTGGTGGTGGTGTTGGTGGTGATGGTGTTGGTGGTAGTGGTGTTGATGGTGGGTGTGGTGGTGTTGGTAGTGGTGTTGGTGTTGGTGGTGTTGGTGGTGGTGGTGGTGTTGGTGGTGTTGGTGGTGGGTGTGG